ACCTAATTTCCATCTAAGCTCACTTTGACAAAGTCAATCTCCATCTAAATTCATTCATATTCATTTAATTCATTCATTTCTTCATATATATATATATATATATATATATATATATATATATATATATATATATATATATATATATATATATATATATATATATATATGTCTGTGTGTGCTGGTTCATATATTAAGGTTTCATCGGAATTGGATACCGTCGCTAGATATCTTGTGTATAGCGTTTGCTAATAAAAATATCACAAAACTTCCAAATGCCATATTTATTTAACTTCTTTCACATTAGTGGTTTAAATTTTAACGTTGGTTGTGGTAGATTAGGTTTGATATTCATTAATAACAAATGTGTTGCGTTGCAGAATGCTAATTTGCCGTACTGTGTGCACCTAGCGAACGCAGAATTATCAAGTAAAACTTTTAAAAATACACCTTACTGCATTTATTTTTTTATAAATATTAATCACACTGAAGCACTTGCCCATTTAAAAATAACCAAGCCTATTACTTTTAACTACCATTGATAAATTTGTTAACTAGTAGATGTTGACGCTTTGCACATAATTTAAGCATAGATATTGTTATATATCGATATATACAAACAAACGCATTTAAGCAAACATATTTACATTCAAACATGCATACTTTCAGGCATATATAATGATAAAAATGAGATACATAGATCACACGTGCGCCATACCAAACCAACTCCTCGATCACGTTAATATCTGATAATTAAAAGATAATTAAAATAAAATAGTCACATCAGTCAAATGGTGCAGGCAATAAAAACTTGATTTTCCTTGCTTCACATCATTTTGCACATGTACAAAACATGTTTATATATTAATAAATTTGCATATATGTATACACACCATGCACAAACATACAAATCAATGAACATAGAAAATGTTAACATGCAAACCATGACCAGTTTTGAATATGAATATTAACTACCTGGCCAACTACCCTGCCAGATCCGATTATTGCTGAGTAGTGAAAAAAGATCAGATATCCGACTGGATCTAATACCCGGTGCAACCATTTTATATGATGTAATGAAACAAAGTCACTTGGGTTGTTTGAGATGTTTAATTGGACCCATGGAATTAAAGACTAAAATTTCGTGATGATAGCTTTTAAAAGTATTTGCGAGTATCTGCTATTTAACATTCTAATTCGATTTATCTCGCGTTTATTAAACCTAGAAGAATAAGGTGTGTTTATGTATGTAATATATATGATGGTCTTTCATAAGAGTGTTAGCGTTGAGAGCAAGATTTTCAATACGTGGTAAAACTAGAAAAGTAAAGGAACGCTTTATAACAATAAAGAAGCTTGTGTACGCGTGTGCGTGGTACGTACATGTATGCATGTTTTTATGTACGTAATTTTAATAACTTCAATTTTTGAATTAATCTTGATTTAACATTTATATATTGGGTTGAATTCAAACTTTAGATGTCTGACAAAAGATGTTTTTTCCATAAAACTTGTAACGTCATCTCGCTCTTGCTTTCAGTATAATATTTAATGAAAAGAATACGATTGGACAAAACAGAATAACGAAAAGATAAATCAATATTAAAAATTAAACAAAGTAAAATGCAAATAAATTTTAGGAAAACTAAATAAAGTCTATCATGACGATATTTATCTTGAAATATCTGGTAAAAATATTAGTTTAGAAAATATAGTCCCATCTCCAGTTAGGTAACGAATAAATATTGGTTTGACATAGATTTCACGTAAAATATACAAATCATTTCAAAACAAATTCAGTATAAAAATTACAAACAAAAAGTTTAATGACACTCAGGAGCAAAGCTGATCGTCACAAATCTCGGCGGGGTTGCACAGCGAGCAGGGCACACCTTTCAGATAGGGTGCTGATGTTTCATCTGAATCACTTGAATTTTTTTTTAATGGAAATATTAGTTATAAAATTTCATGAAACGTAGTTTTATTTGTAATGTGGTGAAAGAGCTTACTCCATGGTCCCAAAATTGTAGTTGCATATGACTATTAGTTGGTTCCTTCTGGCCGACCCGAAGATGTTGGCACAAAAGTTATGAGCACATCCAACGCGAGTTGAGTTGGATCTCACAATCTTTAAATTTTTATAATATATAGGAATTTACATAAAATATTCGATTGGTTTATTTAATAAATGTATTAAATAGAAACCCTGAAGTAACTGTTGCAGCCTTGCTCAAGCTTGCATTTTCTATTTTCCCCATCATAAAACCTTTTTTCTCCGTACCACTCATATATTGCATTAGTTACCAATGTTTTACTCTTTTTAGAAATCAAATTTTTTGAATAAAACGATTCTAAATTCTCATCGTTCTCCAAATATGATGATGGAACGGAATCGATAAAGATGTTTTGACTGATAAAACTGTAAGGAATCTCTTTTCTATAGGGATGGCCGTACGAATTGATGCATTCCTCTGCCCAACTGCGAGCCAACTTGTACAACTGACTGTCCCATTTCTGTGTGTCAAGTGTATGTTAAATCACTTTTCATTTCACTACATTACATAACATTAATTACTTAACGTTATGTTATATTATCTAACCTTTGCATTACCTGAAATACAAACAACATTAAATGACATGAAGCTAGATGAGTGCCATACTAGTCCAACGTCCTCTTATAGTTAAACATGTGAATATGTCGTGTTCGCCATATTATAAAAAAACGTCGACTTGACTTAATCTTTTGAGAGGACTTATAACTAAATGAGAAAAAGTTGTGAACCGATGAAAAAAGAAGTAAGGGGGTTTAGTTGTCAATAAATAAATAAAATGTTATTATTTTTTTCGCATTACCATTAACAGTCTGGGGTGAAACATCTATTAGCAGTGAGTGCACTTTAATAGCAATACCGGTGCTAAATAAAAAATAATAATTCAATCGAACAATTATAATAACTAATTTTTTATGATTTACCAGAAACATAAAATTTATTGAAATTAGAAATTTTTAAAATTTCTTCACAGCAGGCGATCAAATATTATATTTCTCAGTGGGCAGATGCATGTGTTCGTGAGAAAATTACTTGTCGTTAATTATGTACCATGCAATGTTTTATGAAATAAAAATATAAAAGAATACAAATTTATTAACTTAAATATGTACGCACACACACAAACACACATAATATAAATATATATATATATGTGAAAAGATATATATGAGCAGGTATCCAAACGTCATCATGACATGCATACTAATTGTATGTCTAAGTATGTTAACACACTATTGAGCACTAAATATCTCGTAACAAAAAATTGCATTGCGGTAACATAACATTTTGCACATGCTAAACTATGCTCCATAGTAAGTGCTAAAAACGCTTGTTTTGATATATCAAAATAAAACATTTTCTACGTTACTTAAATTGCAATCGTTTTACAATTTAAAATATAATGCAATTTTGAAACACGTTTTAGGCTAACGCACAAGTTTCCTCATGTTTGACGAACTCTCCAGCCTCCTGAGATCATTGTGCAGGTCAACAATGATTTTATCGTAGGACTGTGCGAAGAGATCGAATGGGAGATGTTGTTGCAGTCGATGCTTCTGCAGTTGTTGGATGTTTCTTAGAGGCAGATGTGCTGGTACCCGCTGTTCATCTGCTGGTACGTGCTGATACGATGTAAATCTTGTTAAACTTGACGTGTAACGTCTGTACAACACATTTCCGACCAGTAAATTAGTTAATAAAACTATAAAAGCCACAACCGAAATTACTATATAAAACTTTTTCAAACGTTTAATTTCAATCATATTTTTTATACTTGTTAAACAGTTTGTAATATTTTCTACAAATTCAGTAAAATTCTGGGTAAAATAATCTTTGTATATAATAATAATTTTTTTAATAAATTTTTTCCCACGTATATTGAACAGTTTCATGGCAAGATATCACGCATGGCATTTCGATGAATTCTGCTGTTGTTCGTCATTTATATATGTTTGGCTGTCTTATATGCACCCATTCACGTAATGCGCAACTTCTAAATGCTTTAATCTGTTGTAATTTTACTTGTGCAGACTGTTGCATGCTGCTTCGAACATTTGAAGTCAACTTTAAGACTTTCCAATTTTTCAGTTCTGAAAGTTTAATGAATAGCGATCTATATGCTTCACGTGCTTCTGTTTTTTTAAATAAATAAAAAAAAACGAATAGCTTTGATCAGTTAAGAAACCTGCCTGTCTTTTAGAACTACATGAAAACTGATGTCGCAAACATTGAACTTTTATCCGACTCCAATGCTCAAATTCGCTGTTCTGTTTTTTTATACGGATATTTGATCTTTATTTCGCGTACGGTTTTGTATATAACAGGCGCTTTAATGACGCAAACTCAACAAAACATTTCCTCAACACCAACATTTTCAACCTAAAATTGAAGTCGTATACCTTTTTACATGATACAGATTTAAAGTTTAAAAATGTATTTTTAGCGAAGTCGTGCAAACAGTAACTTTTTAAAATGAATACGCCAAACGCTTTTGTAAACCCCGATGCAACTTTGTATCAGTCATCTTATAATTCACTACTTAAAATATGCGATAATTATAAAAACATCGTCCACTGCTTGACTTTATTAGAAAAATGTAAACAAATTGTAAAAAAATAACAAATAAATATTTTACATTTAAGTAAATGTTAATATTTTTAAAATACGAAAAATTTAATTTAAAAATTATTTAGTTTGCTTATATGAACAATTTAGTATATAATTAATGATGTTTAATTAATTACTGTGGACGATTAATTTGTGCTGCAATCCTAATAAATAATAACACAACTATCGATTCAATTATATAAATAATAAACTTTAATAATATTTATAGTCACGCATACACGCATGCAAAACACACACACACAACACACTCGTGGCACATAGACAGTAAAAATTTTATGAAAGTTACATGATTTTTTGTGAAATTCAACGTTGGACCGTACACACCCAAGTACCTATATGAAACTATTAAATTCAACGACGTTAAACATTATGAATATTATACTTCAGCATATATAGTTATACAGGCGTATATATATTTTTCTATATATGTATATATATATATATATATATATATATAGAAGAAAATAATTAAGCAGATTGTCAGTAAATCATTCCATGCAGACAAATGAGCGTTGCTTGATATTGCACAATTTTAAATGTTTACAGAAAATACAAAGTCAATTTCAGACAGTAAGTACTACAATAAGCAAGCAAAATCATTAGGTGATCCATTACCTGTTCTAATGTGAGCGTAATTAACAGCTTTATTAGTTATTTTGATCGACTGACTGATGTAACAAATTATTCCCGCCAACCGGTTCAGTCGATTTGATCATCGAATCAGATCGTTACAAATTTGTTTTTTTTTATCAAACTGAACGTCAAACCCTGACATAAACACTTATTCAACTTTTATTGGTGACCAGAAAGTGAAGTGTAACACAATTTTTTTATTTTTTAGTGAATTAGTCAAAAATTTGAAATTGAGAAATGATTAGCCTAATATACTAAAAATGAAACAAAACCAATTAGGCGGTTCCACTCTTTTAACCATGATATACAATAAACCAATTTTTTTAAAACTATGATTAAAAATGGGTTTTTTTTGGTTCACTCAGTTTTTCTTAAGCTTCAAATATTCTTGATTCGCAACTGGAACTATTCGTGCTTCATTCATCCAGCAATTTTAAAAGTAATCACGCCCATCATAAAACACTGTTTTAGCGAACAGTGTATGCAATGTTGAATCGAAAATGAAAATACGTGAAGAATCAATTAACCATTCCAATACGTCAAAAAAGTTGCTAACGGAATACGGTTAATGAATAATTTAAATTATATATATATTAAATTATTAAAATAATGTATTCATACACACATCTTGTTTGAATACACACATCTACATATATACAATTAATGCAGTAATTATGGTCTTTTACCAGCATTTACATATATAATTATATATAGATATCATTTTATGTGAACATTTATGTTTAAATTTAAACAACACACCCTCCGACGTAGTAGCAGCCTATGTGTGGCCCAACAATAACTTTTTGCTTCGTATATCCATAGGCGACAACATATCATCATGTTCCATTCAAATAATACGGTTTATTTTAAAGTAACAAAAGTTTTGTTTCAATATGTAAGTTTTACAATTAACATTTATATTACTAGGTGAAAATGGCTATGTGATTTTCGATCACGAAAATTTTTTAGTGTAACAAAATTGTATTCTCCAGCAGTTACATATTTGTTGTGCTAGTCGAAATCCTCGAACGACTAGAAAATAACGATCAAAAAAACTTTCTGATGCAAAAATTTGTACTTCTTCAGTAATGCAACAAAGTGTGTGTAGCAACAGATATAATCGAGCATCTAAAAATCATTAAAATTGTTTTCATTACCCGCTACAGCTACACCTCACCAAAAAAGAGAAAACGATGCCAGACACGAGAACAGACAACTGTCCAATTCATTTAGACTTGGCAAATCAGTAAACAACTTTTGTTTAGCCTAATCGAGTCGTCATGATCTTGTGAGAATTAAATTTGTTGATCTATAAAATTTTAAATTATTCCTTTATAAACGTTAATTTTAAGGCAAAAATAAATAATAACACATAAAATTCTAGTTATTGTGCTTATTATGTTGAAAATTCAAATTCGTTAAGCAATATCCAAATATTTTCAGAACGGAATGAAATTTTGCACCCATATTAACTTTTCGCTAAGGAACTAATCTAAAGAGTATACATTCAAATTTTTAAATAATTTTCGACCACCGTAACACCTAAAAAATAAGAATTAGTTACTGATTTTTCGCTGTCATGATTTGGTTTGACAAATAATGAGTTAACAACCAAGGCATTGTTCGACTGCATCGAAACTTCAACGGCCGATTGATTTGTGACATTTACAATCAACAGTTTCATGTATTTTATACTCCTACTGTTGTTGAAAATCACAAAACGTAGGAGCAGGATTTAACTTCAAGAGATATATGTACTTTGTTTGGAATATTATTGCCGTCTAAAAATTCTCCAAAATAAGCTGTTGGTGAAAAATATGTTGTTTATTAAGCTTACGCTCTTAACTTCTAGATAAATTTGTTTGCAGTTAAACTTTCAGTTGTTTTGAAAGAAGGCTTCAAAAAAATTTAACTAGCGGCAGGGCTACTGAAGAAGTGACATAAATTTTAATGATGTTCGTTGTGCAACGTTCGAGCTTATTGTAGCATATTTATTATTGTCTCAGTCGGTCGTGACAATGCTTTCACGCATGATGGCATCGTGCAACAGTAGAGAGATAGTGTGGTGAATTTGTATTTTATTTAAAATACAAAACCATAAATTTTAAATTTTTTAGAGTTTTCAATGTTTGGTATTCAAAATATACGATTACCATTCTCTACTGAATGAATATCACAGCATGTTCCGCATATAATGCTGTGCTTTTCATAAATTACATTTCTGATATATATATATATATATATATATATATATATATATATATATATATATATATATATATATATATATATATAGATATAAGCTGGAAAAAGATCATAAATAATACAATATGTATAATATCTACTAAACTTTTAGCTTTAAACATTTACGATAAATCTTCTATTTAACTGATAATTGTTAAATTATCAGCGGCTAAAAATTTTGTAGAGATATCTATTACTTATATTTATATATGTTTGTGTGTGTGTGTGTGTATGTGTGTGTAACATGATGAACCGCGTGTGTCGATCTAAAAAGTTAAACAAATGAATTTTAAAAACATTAGATATTAGTAATTCATAATAATCAAACATTGCTTTGAAAATAAAAAAAAGTTGTTACTGTTCCAGCTGGATTAAGAAAAAAAAGAGAAAAAATTTAAAAAAATATTGCAGATGAAAGAAGTATAAATGAATGTAAAATGAACCTAACATCGCTACATCAAGTCATAACTTTTAAATATTACATTATCAATTACACCACGTTAATATATTTACAAGGTTTTCATATTATCATCAGCATCATAGTCGCTATCACCATCCTCACTAAACTCTTCCTACAACTTTATTACATCATGTTACGTCATATTTGTACGAAGTAAAAAAGATACACACGCACGCACACAAGCACACACACACACACACACGAACACATACACACACGCACAAGCACACATACATACAGGTGGTTGGTTACCTGTAGATAGAAACGCACCGAGAAATTTTAATGATGACTGAAAAACTCACTAGAGGTTCACTAAATAAAGTTCAGATTAAATCACTACTATTAAAAACACATTAACATTAAATAAACGTATGTTTTATTCGTACATGCGTATGTATATAATACAACAATTCTTATATATCATATCCGTTTATATGATATATTATGCATATTTCAATACACAAGTTTAGTCACAATTTAACATAGGATACATAGATTTCTATGTACAATTTATTCAAGTAGAAATATTTACAAATTTCAGAAAATAAAGTATAATACAAAGAAGAAAAGAAAGTGAATTAAAATGATCTTTTGATAAAACTATGCATGGTCACTGAAACTATTATTGATAGTAAGTACTAAGAATGTAGCGACGTTTCGTTGATTTCATTTGTTTGATGATTCTTTGTACTTTTCCAGTTCACTCAATTATTTCATTCATCCACTCATTACGTATTCATCCAGCCCATTCGTCCATTCACTCATCAACTTTATCTTTTACTCAATAGTCCACACAAAATAATTATCAACTGCAACACGACGGACAATAACAACGTAAGATGCAAGCGAGTAGTGCACTGAAACAAGCATTGATCTCCGCTGATTCGCAAAGACCTCCACACGCGCTGACACAAGCGAGCACACAACTTCACAGACTTTGTGCAAATAATGTGCATCTATATAATCACACACGCAAATAACGCGCATCTATTGTATTCGTACATGCGTATATATAATGGTACGCACAGCCAACACGCATATCTACAATCACACACACACACAAATAACACGATCTATATAATCACACAC